GTTATTTGTTGTATATTATTTATTTTTTCCTACTCGCCATTGTATTTTGTTTGAACACTTCAAAAAAAAAAAAACAAATTAGAAAAGTTTAAATAATATGTTGAAAACTACAACGTCTCAAAACTTGAAAATATCGACAGCTGGCAATCATTTTCATTTATAATGTGTAGCCAAAATGTGTTGTGTATTATTACGTTTTACATAAAATACTAGAGAAAGAACTTTTGTAACTTGTTATTTATTATTTATAATGTTAACGCCAACCGGCTTTTGGTAAAAGTACATAAAAAATAAAACTAACACCAACAAAAAACATAAGAATATATGCATATTATAATTTGTAGGTATTTGTATTGCAGTACCTTTAACAATAATCAACATTTTCTGAGTACTCCTGTCTGTCATTCTTGAAAGTTACGTTTTAACACCACTTAAGTATATTAACTGGTGTCGCAGGTCTAGAAGTAATCAAAATAACGAAATGGATTTTAGAAAATTAAATAAATTATATTTCGTCCAGTCATGACTGAATAAAATAAACTATAAAACTATAAAGCCAAGAGCCCGGTTATCAAATTTTGTGATTATTATTAGATAATAATATTAAGATATTATCAATTTAAGATTTATCCAACATCATCTAAGTCTTTATATTTAATATGGTGAAAATAGCAGTTAATTGTCTTAATTTTACCATGACAATGTTAACTGTAGCATGGTTGTTTATAATATATAAAACTATAAGCACTATAATATTATTGAATATGTATATATATATAGTGTGCTCGCTTAGACTATTGTAACAATAATTTCCACAAGGAATTAACAACATAAATAAACGAATCAACTGACTAAACCAGTCTAACTCTCTTTTCATGATAAAGTAAAGGATCAACGAACTTCATCCCGAGTAAAACTCCTTTTTTCTTATAACCTTACTTAAAAAAAAAAAAAATGGCTAGCAAACTTTTTCTGATCCAACTTATATAAGTCTAGCACTGATGCAAATGCGACTATTGAGTGCTTTCCTAACTGTTTTACGTGTCGTTGTTAGCCACTTGTTGTTTCCAAAAAAATCGCTCGTTTTACAAAACTATGTGGATTGAAAGTTTGTCGTTTTTGTGATAATAAAAAAAGAGGAATAATATATTATTGTGAAATGTAATTGACGGGATTTGTTTTTATTCTGAGCAGTCATCTATTCCGGGTTAAACAAACACAATCGACAACAGCTGCTGACCCAGCCAGATTGATGGCAAACAACAAGAAGGACTTATATAGATTTTAGCTCTGATGCGAAACTGAGAAAGTACAATTTTTATTTGTTAGGTGCAAATGTTTTTACGGGTCGTCGATATTGTGCTTGAAACGTTGGCATGATTACTCAGTAACGATGGAAAATTATTTTGCTGAGACTATCGTCTCGTATTGCTTTAGTTTTCGAAACTGGTAAAAATAAAATAACATTAACAATTAATTATAATGGTAAAAATCATTTTCGGTTGGCCTCCCCCGACGGACTCTTTAAGTGCTCTTGATTACTTGAAATTAGAAATTTCTGGACGGATTTCACGTTTAAGTGTTCGATGGAGAATCCAAAGGCGTTTCCTGAGTGTCTTTTAGAGTTAACTCATGCGAGTCTTAAAAGTACTTCAATATCAAACGAATTGTATTGCGGTTTAACAAAAGGTTATTTTCCATAGAAAACGGCCAATTGCAAGTCGTCCTCGCGCAATTAGTGTACCGTGCTATCAGTTGTTTGTATAAGTAAAGTTGATAAGTACTCACCTTAAGTAGACACCAGCACATTACATAAATTATTTTTGGTAATCCTATAATATAAAATAACAATTAAAAATGTACCGTTCATTTAGCTCTAAGTATTACCCCACGAGTAAGTAAACAAGATAGTTGTAACTAAGGGGTTGACTAAAGTGTCAAAATATAGTCTCTGAAAAAAAAACGTGACAGACGAATCGAGGTAATTTTATTAGTAATCATTCGGGACACTAAAAAGATCCCATAAACTGTACGCCTATAAATGTATAATAATTACATTGCGTTATACCCTCGACTTGTTAACGTTCTGTCTAGCACAGTGGACTCTACGCATTGGCTTTTAGCTTCTCTGTCACCGGCAGCTCACTATTGTCTTTTTCAGGTGCATGTGATATGATCTCTGATGGTAATTATTTTAATTCTGTTTTCTCTTGCGATTTTATTTTCCACAAAATTCCTAATCAGTTTTTCTGATAGTCGTGTATAGGGTAATATCGTAACAGAAGAAAATAATTTAAAACCTGTGAGCAAACATGACAGCATTCATTATATTTTTGCAGCTGCGTTCAACACAGTATTTTGCGATGAAATTCAATTTCTACCACAACAATGCCGTTTTGAAATGAAAAAATACACACATATATATGTTGTATATACATATATACAGGCTTACTCTTTTCGAAATTAATTTCTTCTACAACCAATGAAAATAAATGCTCGAATTAATAGCTAACGGTCGTCTCGGTGACTGCAGGTCAATGATATATTTTAATATAGTTCATTAATTTCAATAATATTACACGTGTTCCTGATTGCAAGTGATTTGATACTCTACTAATAGCACTCGAGTTATTGATATAATATGAGAACTGTTAACATTTTGTTAACATTTAGATATTAATATTGTGATATTAATTTTTTATCTATTTATTTCAATTTATTTAAATGTTTCAGCATATTGCATGATTTTATAGGTTAGTTAGTTTAAGTATATGTACAATATTTTACGTAGTCATATTTCATAATTTTTAGTTAAATTAATAAGATAATATAACATGTAATTAATAGTTAACAAGTATTTTTAGTAACATTTTATGTATAATAGTTTGCGTGTGGTTTCTTCACTCTTCACTGAAGGAGTTCGACAACAGGGTGTCCTGTGGGAGGCGGGCCTTCAGGCATCTGTTAATGGTTTTTTCACCAAGTTGAACATATTTTGCACCTTCTAAATTTTGAAGGTTAATGTGGAAGTTTTTGAAAATGTGTTTGATCCGATCCGATAGGTACTGGACGCCTGTGTCGTTATGGATTTGAGACTATTGCGCATGAACCATGACGCTTTTAGGCAAATCCTGTGATATTAATAGAACTCTATTAAAAATTAGATCCTAGATCATTTTTAATAATTGTAATTAGTTAGGGTACAACTATGTATCTTCAAAATGTTTGTCTGTCAACTGTATATTTGTTCAGTGTTAAAGTATTTAAATACTATTTAAGTATTTGAATACATATTTTAAACACTGAAAACTTTTCACTAAAAATGTATTTCGATTATATTTTTGAAATATCTGTACTTGTCATAAAACATATTTTATAATAAATACTTTTGTGACTTTTGAAGTTTGACATTTACCAATAACTTAGTATACTATTTGTGAAATGTGTCATGTTGATGCATCCATAAAACATTTTTCAATATTGTAGTAATACAATTGTCTGAATTTAAACGTCATTGTCTTTAATGAAAAAAACATATTAACGGTTATAATTAGTAATACTGTTGTCTATACTAGGAATTTTATAATGTTCACTTTTAAAATGTCGAGGGAAAACCGTTTTAAAATTATTAAGCGGATTTCAATAACGTTAAACGGTATATCTTTATGGAGTTAAATTGAAAATGAATTATTTGCATACCATGTTATGCTTACAGTATATAATATACTTCTATACGTATTTCCTATATTATCTACGTGATTTGCCCTAGACATTATGTATAATGGCTTATTATAATGGTATGTTAAACTTCAAAATAATGCAAAATATTTTGCAAAACAAACATCGACGAACGGCGATATACACGAACGCAATTATAAATTGATTAATAAAGTAAAATAATTTTCCTTTTAGTTTTAAGTATAATCCTACAGAATTCATTAATATTTTGACGGAGAATATAAGCGGCGTAGATGCTTTTTAATTAGGTATATATATGTTGTCATGAAGAATTTCAGTTATAGTGTTTTAAAATTTAACACGCGCTTCTTTGAAACCTGTATTATTATATTTATGCTGTGTTTAGGTTTGTGAGTCGTTAAAAGGTAAAAACAATTCACTGTTGGAATACGATCTCGTGTGTCCGGCTTTTTGTGTTCGACCATTTCAAAAAGCTCGGCCAATGCTTTTATGTTTTCAAGTAATAAAATCTAACCATAAAAATCCTCTCGAAGCTTTTGTGATTACGATCGCGCTAGCTGCTATTTCTGTGTCGGTAACTTTGTACCTCTTTAAAATCTTTTTTTTTTTTTGTAAAAAAGTACGCTGAAAGATTAGAGTTGCGTGTAAGTCCACAATCTAGACACAGTAAAACTTACCGCAGTGTAAGTTTATTAATGTACTTTTAATGACTACACGTTACACACATGAAAGGCTATTAAAGATCTGTACAGTGCGAAAAAAGGTGGGCTTTTGCAATATTCTGCTTTTGCATAATTATAAAAATACCTTAAATCCTAAGCGATAGCGTTACCTTACCGAAAGTAATTATTATCTGCGTCGACCATTTGTTTAATGCTCGGTTTCTTCATCTAATAGATGGCCGTAAAGCAAGGAAATGTTACATAGTCCCTTCTTTAGATTTTAAATATGTCGGTTTAGTCGAAAACAGGAAGCCAACTACTACAATCCCAATCTAACAATAGTATCTATAATTGTACGGTCAAGTTTATAACCCGTTCAGCACAAAAAAAAACACTATCTGAAACATGTTTTTTGGCCAGTTACTAAATTTTTCACGAATATTATTCTGAAAATGTTATACATCGGTTTAAAAACACTATTAGTTTTGTATTCTATGGGAATAACTAAAAATAACTATTTATAATGTAACGATCATATTTCACCTGACCGTTACTTCGCGTTCCAAACCTACTGACACAGCACCCCCGACTATAGGTAGGGGAACGGTCGCACACACAGGACAATGCACGTCGCGTATCATCTAATTAACCAGTTGACTTTACCATCACGGACCGCCAATATCCTTGACCTTGCGCTCTATATTTTTGCCGTTTTACTACAAGCCGCCCATTCGACTATCTTTTGTGTGCGTCCGTTTCAACTCCGCCTTGACCAACCATTTCATCGTCCAACCCAGGTCAGAGTGTATATATATATATATTGTATAATTTTATTTAGAAACCCTAATTTAGAATAAAACATCTTGTAGCCTGCAGCTGAGAGTTAGATTATTTAACAGTGTGACCGCCCGTTCTAGCTCCTCGGGCGATATATTAAGTTAATAAGGGAGACTTTAAGGCCAATTAGACGTAGACAACGGCCTAGCCAACCGTTTTCCCGTGGGGATCCGTCTATTTTAGTCTTATCGACGGCCACTTTGCCTAGTCTAGTCAGCTAGACAAGTAGGTCCGTTACAATAATAAGCATTTAAAATTAATTTATGTTTTGTATAAATTATTGTTGACTCATTAGAACCGTAGGTATGTCAGTATTTTTTGTAATTTTGAGAAAGGTAAAATTAATTTAATTTAAAATAACACCTCCATAATTGTTTAAGTAAACCCCCATGGGTTTGTAGTAACGTAATAACAAGAATTGGTGCTCATGTAAGTTCATGATATTATTATGATAATTTAATTATTTGGTATTATTTGGAAGTATTTTCAGAACATACATACGAAAATTATCATCACATTTAATTAGTTTAAGCTATATCATACTATACCCAATACAAAAATACCTTTCACTCGTACTTGTGTTTTTGGTTTATTACAACATAACGATCTCGCGTGCCTAAAATAATTTGTTTGGGCTATGTTTTCTACAAATTATATTATCTTGTTTGTACTCTTTTGTTATGTTGTGTTTAACATTAACATATCAGTGATGCTTTGTTTTTTTAAAATTAAAACTTGACTTAACATTATAAATATTAATTAAGTTCAGTTTATAACAGCTTTTTTTTTTAAATTTATTTAAAAATATTTATAACCTGTATTAGTATGTACTATAAGTAAAATTTAGGGCTAATTTATTTACAACGCTGAAAGACTAATTTTCGAGCAGAAAGTGTTGAAGTCGTTTACACCTCGAATATAGATAGGAGGTGGTGGTTTATTTGGAGGAATGGCGACTGTTCACCGGCGAGTGATTATAACAGCTTTACAATATTTAACACATTTTTATCGTCTCTTGTTAAAGCATGGTTAGCGAATATTATTTTACTTATCTACAAATAAGTTTGATATACTCAAAACCGAATGTTAGGAGGTTGCAAATATATGTTCGAAGGAAAAAATAATTTGGTAGAAATTGTATTTAATCATTAGCACCACTTTAATTTGTCAATGGTGAAAAAATGTGGTTCAAGCTCAAAACTCTCATGCCAAATTTGCACAAAGATCCGTTATTATAAATAATGTTTTTATTAATTTATATGAGCTAAATAAAATTAATACATGGATTTAGTTAAAATTAAATTATGTTAATGACTCGTAGTGTAAAAAATTACTTTTGAAAAAAAACGTTCCTAAATAAATCAACAAGCATTAGCTAAAGTATAGTGCACGACAAATAACATGTTAACAAACCAACAGTACTAATAAAACCTTAATTTTCTTTTGTTATAGGATATATTTTTCAGGATTCAATTCGAAAAATGCGAATAAAATAACTGTCATAGGGCATTAATAAATATATCTAAACACAATTAAGATAACTTAAATTAACTCACAAAAACACGTGAATTATGAGCTAGTAAAATAAAAAAAAAACAATTTTTCTACTATGCGATTTAATTGCAAACTAATTTGCACACATCTAGGATCTACCTTTGACATCTCTGTATAACTAAGCCAAATATTAATTTTGAAATATTAGTTGATATTTAAAACCATAAGATTATTATTATCATCTCATTAATTACTAAATTTGCATTATCATGTCGTGATTTTTGCAGTTGGTTTTTGTTAGAGACAGTCGCAAATACAACTGGACGTTTTAACCATATCTTTTGATCGAACGCTTTATCGGTGGAAAGGAAGTTTTTTGGATAAAATAAGTATAATTATTTACTATACGGTGGCCTGTGTACAGTTATTATTCACTGACACCAAACACCCGTACATTATTTATTCATTGTCCTTAATTGGGTCGGTCGCCTCGCTGACCGTGTTGAATACAAACCGGAAATCACCGCCCTTTAAACAATCTATGACAATTATTATTTGCATAGGTCCCCTGGCCTCGGCAATAATCTCTTAAATCACAATTTACAAATTCGCTTACAGTCGATTTGAGCTGATTTTTCAACATAAATCCACGTTTAATAACACATTCAATATTTTAAGACATTGCTCCATTGTAACACGTACGTTTCTTGAACATTTTGTTCATCGAATCGACCTGTGTTTTATATTAAAACGTTGGCTTTGCGACACAAATCGGCTTAATTCGTCAAACTGGAAATGGTAGTGTGAAGTACGCATCCGGAGTTCTAAGCGCACACAACCAACCACTTAACCGCATGTACTTCAGTCCACGAAACGCATAAAAATCGCATATACTTGTCAATGTAATCCACATTTTTTGTATGGGTTATCGAGTAGCCAACATTTTAAGAATCTGAAGAAAATCTGATAAACGTTAATAAGATACAATACATTTATATGGTGAATAAGCAATAATCTAATAATGCAATTTAAAATTACAAAACAAAAAATTGTATTTTTATTTAATAATGTGCACGTTTAACAATAAAACACATCAAAAGTTTTAAAATTTAATTTAGTTTTGTTATTTTTTAATTTTTAATTTATGTACATTAAATATATATATATATATTTTAGTAAACTAAAATTAAAATAAATCTCGTTTTTTTAGTTTCTAAGAAATTGAGCTGTGTTCTTAATTGTTCTATATACAAAGCAAAGACTTTATTCTTAAGTACAGAACTTTTTTTAATACTATAGTAACTTAAAGTTATGCCTATCATATCAAAATTAGTCTGAAGTTAAACCTAGCGTGAACCTACTAAATTATTTAAAAAAAACCACAGTTACCAAGCTTTGTTTTTTTAAAGTGAACTAAAAAAAAAACCGAAAAACACATTTTTCTCTGTTGAGTTATGATAACGTCTTCTTATTTATATAAATTTTAGTAGTTTTTTTTATATTTTTGTACTTTTTTCAGGAGTCAGCTTATAAGTATATATATACATATTCGTTTTTATTATGGCTGAGGATATTCTACTTTTTCTATTAAGTAACAATTATTTTACTGTACTTGTTTGTTTATTTTTGTAGGTAGGGTTCGCTTAATTTAGTTTAATCGAGAATGTCAAGAAACAGTAAACTTAATTAAAGAATTATTACATTGAAAGCAATATTATATTGAATACAATATGATGTTTCTTTTTTGAATACGCACACTCACAGAATAAAAATTGTATAAGCATTATATTTTCATTTTACTTCTGCCTGTATGAGTAGTATGGCTGATATTAAAGTTACAATACAATTTGAAAAGCTTTATTGGACAGTAAGTAAACGTTGTCGGATTTTCTATTGCCGCGCTGTGGAAATAAAAACTCAAGACTTACATTAAAAAAAAAATATTAAAGAAATAAAACAGAAATATCACTGCAACGTCGCGACGGTCCGTAAATAAATTATTACTGAACCGTTCAACTATTAAATATGTTGCCGGTAAACTGACTTAGGTCCTTGTTTAGCGTTTGGATAACTATAATAATTCTAGTGTATAATTTAAATACTTTGTTACCATAAACTTTATTTTTTTATTAACTCAGTCAACCGTTTGATTGTAGTTGGTCTACTGTTTATTTATGTAATAAGACACTATATAGTAAGGGATTTACATTATATAACAGCTGCATTGTGCTAATTAGGTTAATGGACTAAGTAGGGTTATCCCTATTTATGGTTTATCTTTTTTCCGAAAAATGTATTATTTATTTAAATAAAATATAAATAAATATTACGATATAAATAAATATATTAGGGGTGTCCTTGAAAAGTCGATTTTCGAATTTTAACCTCGACGCCCCCTAAAAAGTTTCTAAACATAATAAAAATAAGATAAAAAAAAAATATTTGAAAAAAAATTAATTTTAACCCGTGCCCCACATAGATAGGATTTTCATTTTAACTAACAAATTCATATCATACATTTACATTGGAAGTTAAGTTTAATTATGATAATAAAACTTAATTTTTTTGTTCTTTATTTTTTAAAGTTGTGCGTTGTTGCACAACTTTTATGAGTTGACATCTCCAAGGGTAAAAGCATTCCATGACGGGAACATGTATACAACTAATTTAATAATTATTAGGTATTTTTAAATTGGTTGTAAAATGTTTAGAATAATAATATGGTACATAGTTAATTGGACATTGTTTCGATAGAACTTATGTAATGACAAATTTGGCCATAGCTTGCGTGTTAGGTTTTTTCTTATGAATAAAAAAAATCCTGAGTTAGTTATTTGTGTATTATTATTAACTTTAGTCAACAAACCTTCAATTTATCAAATGGTCTACTTCAGACGTTTTACCATTGCCGTGAAAACGAAAAAAAACCCACTTTTTCATTAGTGCGTTATAAAACCGTTTTGACATTGATGATACTATTAAAAAATAACCATTTAATGATTCCTTGACATTAATATTAAAGTTAATATGAAAACTTGTTTTTTTTTTTTATTCACAAGAATATATTTTTGCGTTTTTAACACAATATTTGGCTACAAACCCATTTCAATCGCACGCATACAAACAACTAATAAAAAATGTTGATAAATGAAAACGCTTGACTTATAATGTTAAATAATTTATATATTTTGTTTTTTCTGCACACAACGCAAACAAAAAGTTACAGCTAATTAAATAAGTCTTTGGGAAAGATAATAATATTATTCTACCTAACATCGAGTTTTATAATATTATTATGCGATAATTTAAAATCCACGTTTCTCATTTAAACAACAACCATACGAATTTACAGAGGCAGTTAATTATAATAAATAGAACTAAGAATATGATCAATATGTGAAGGATAGCATCCAAGGTTTTGGCACTAAAACCTATGTCGACTAGGAACAAAGTAGTCCGTGCTTTCGGTTTGTTTACTGGCACGGCCCTGTATCCCACTGTCCAGCCCTTTGAGTTGACGTCCACACCGACCGCAGTCAATGCGTACACTGGTGAGATCAAACTGTCCAGATCAGGAGCATCGCTTCCCAGCTTGGGGCCCATTTCCTTTACTATCTTGATGTTATACCTAGACAAACAACGTAGTACAATTAATATTAGACATAATAATATTATTACTTATATTATTACTATTTATGATATTGTGTTTGAAAAAATAGTTAAGAATGTTATAAACTGTTGAGAATAATAGACTAAAGCGCTTAAATTTATTTATTTTTAAATCATTTTCATTATCAAGCTGATTTTTGTAATAAGGGTCGCTATTTAATAGTCAATATTAATTTTTTTGTGATTCAAAGGAAAATTTAAAAAAGTTGTTTTTATTGATGTTGAGTAGTTTTAAAAGAAAACAATGAAGAGCGTTCAAAGAATCACTCTGTTCACACGTAAATAAAAGTGCTGCTTTTAAAAGTTATTTTATATTGTGGTCGATAACAATTTTTTGTTGAAATGAATACGTTTTTATTAAAACGAAAACAAATAATGATTCTTTTAAATTGTATACCTATTTTATCATTTTAACGAAATTTGTTTTATTCGTATACACATATTTTATAGAATAGTCATACTCGACCATAAGGAAGAAAAAATCAAGATCTAAAAAATTGACAAAGCAAAATTCAGACGCTTAATAAGAATGACGTGCTACATGAGTTCAAGCTGAGCTATAATAATTGTTTAATGATTTTCAAGGTGAATTCAAATCTTCTTCGCAAATAGGGTTTAAAATTGGGAACTTTACTCTTTTGTGTAACTTAACAATTTATATTTCGTTTGTAGTATAAAATTAAATTATTACTTAAACATTAAACGTACGTTTAACATGTTAAACTCGTAAATCAGCAAACAAAGTTTTGGGGATCTTGTTAAAACTTCTAATTTAATTATTATATTATAAATATTTGTTATATATACGAGAATTATATTTAAGTTTAATTTAAAGAGATTGTTAGTTTTCACTCAATTCCTTCGGTAACATCAAAATACCTGAATATCCTGTGATTATGTGTTTTTGTAGCTTTTTCAAAATTAAACTACCGGTAATATCGATTTGAGTAAGGACTCTCGGTTTTTGAGACAAGTCAATTGTTTAACATATATTTTTCTTAAGGGTTCTATAAGTATAAAAAAATCGATTAAGGGAAAATATTCAGGGTTTTTTTTAAAGTTAATTTTCCGTTTATTTCAAAGTGGGATTTGTATGTTTGTTAGTGCTTATTAGTTTGATCTGTTACCGTCCAAAATATAACACTTTATTTTACAACATCACAGATCACTACAAATACATAATACACAAATATATAATATAGGTCTTATCAGCAGTCGTTCGTTATGATGTTTAGCAAGAAAACGAAATAATTATCTGTTCGTTTATTTTAAGTAGTGTGTCAAGTATTTAAAATAATGATTTAATTTCCTTGTTTACAACCATAAAATCGACTTTGCTGTTTTGATCAAAGTGTACAAAAGGGAACTTTTCGTTCATCACCACTATAAGTAATATTTAGTAAAACTACATCAGAAAGTATTTAAATACTTGCAAAAATATGTACTTAATGATTATAACTACATTGCAGCTTTGCCACCTCGTTGTTTATAAAATTACTATTTAACATTGAGTATGCGAATTTTTCAGTTTCGCCAATACTATATTTTATGATAATTGCCTCGGGCGCTTAACGACTGTGAGATTATTTTGAAAGCAAGTAAAGTGTCTTTGTTAAATAGGTATTTGTACAATCCCGAGGTTCACTATAATAGTGTAGTTTGTAACTAATGGTTTTCTTTTATGTGCCGCGGTAATCACACGAATGTCTACCACTGGAAATGATGACCCGGGAGTAGCTTAACTTCCGAAAGTAGCTTTTATCGTAAAACGGTCTGTTTAATACCAAATAGAGTCAAAGATTTGAAAAAGAAAAAACAACATTAGCGCCATGTCGATCGCTGGTTAGTAGCGAAAAGCTATAACATTTGGAAATAGTATGAAATCTTGAATAGATCTGATAAAGTAACATTTTGAAGTGAACACTATGTGCTGAGTTAATGAAACATTTAAATTGGTATTAAAAATATGTTTGAACGGTTTTCTTTCACATGCTGTAAATTATTTTTAAGTGCTAAATATACTCGAGCACTTTTATTAACTTATTTTGTTTGTCATATTTTTCACTAAATTAAGAATAGATCCTAATGATATATCTTCTTCTGGGATTTACGATAAAAGTGTTATCTGAAAGAGGATATTCTGAGTAAAACAGAAAATCCTCGGGATCTGTTGTCTCCAAAATTGGATTACTCAATAACTCAAGACTACCAAAGGTTTATTGTATACTTTGAGGGATTTGGCTATTTTTTTAAGCTACGTATTTTTTTCTTATCAATAAATTTGCCGCTCAATAAAACTGGTCTGAAAAAAAAAACAAACACAAGATACATTTTGGAATATATTTTATTAGGTAACTTTGTACCGAATTTCGAAACTAAGTTGTGTTCCGAGTAATTTTATTTTTTTAATATTAGTTCGCATTTAATTAAGGCCGTTAAAAATAATGTTATTACTTTAAAAGTATAGTAACTTATTTGTAATTAATTATATATTTTTCTGTTTTCAGTTTAATCCGACGCAAAGATAAGTCACCGTTATGGAGAAGATTGTATACTTTAACGAATCTCATCTTCCAGGTAATAATGCCATACTGTGGTACTATATTATTGTAGTGTATTTTATTTGAGTACGATAATAATTGTATAGCTGCAATTATTATTTGAAAACCATACAAAAAACTCCTTCCCAAATAACTTCCTCGAGATTCTTACTATCGTAGCCTGACCTTGGCGTGTCACGTGTATCCCGAACTCTGGTCAAACGATCGGCATCGATGCATTTGCATGGTAACTAGCAACGTAGTTTGATCTTCGTTGTAGTCATGAATATTCATTTTTAAACGCGATATTCTTGTGCTGTTGGCTGTTAAGTCCTTGTACCGGTATCACAGGCGGCCGCAATACTGTGTTACGGTTAATAACTCTGACACGAAAAGATAATATTTTTAAAATAATCACGAATCTATACAGCAAAAATTCATCTCTCTCTCTATATATCTATTAGACCTTGACACAGATGTATTTTTCTAACATTTTGTAGGTTTTTTAATTTTTTTTTTTTACCCGGCAAGGTGATATTCAATATCAAATATTATACTACACGTACATATATAAGCATACATCCGGAGAGTATAGTATGGCGCACTTGAATATTATGTTAGTGTCCGGTGTATACACAATATAAAAAATAAATAAATGCATAATACCAATGAAGAAACACACTTTTAATATATATAATATAATATTATATTCTACGGACATCCTTAAAAAAACCTGATACTTGTTATGTCACCGTATTGTAATCGGAATTATTATTATCATCTTAATTCTGTGAACATTAGTTACCACGCAAAGCCACCACACGTATGTGCTAGAGTCTTTGTTTTACACCAAAACTGAATAAAAGTCAAATCATTTTAAAAGTATAATGAAGATAACTTTTGTCGGTTTTTTTCTTAAATTGTTATCGAGTCGACCCAAAATCATGATGACTGAAAAAAGTAGGAATATAATTTATCTCCGGCGGTCATCATAACCGCACACTTTCTAAAAAAGGTCGTCGTTCAATACCACACACTATCTGAAAAAGCTCGCCGTTCAAATCCGCACACTTTAATATTTTACTTTAAACCTGTGATCTCCTAGACTGTAGCCTGCCAACCTAGGATATTTTTAGTGGAGCGAGTGCCAAAACACTCGGAGATCTGTCGTCCTTATCAGTTATCGCATTTAGATTTTTTCAGAAACATAAAAAAGTGACGACATAGTATGGCGTTGTAAATATAACTATTTTAAGAGGGCGTCGCACAGCCCATTTTTAAGGAGTAAAGTACAGGCAATTTTTTACAAAATCTTAATTTAAAGGTTAAACTGCGATGTGTAATTATTAGTTCAATAACTAAGATTCTATTTTGGTAATTAATTTATTTTTTGGACTATCACAGCATGCTTGAAAGTGATTTCAAAATGTTTTTTCATCTCTACTTGTTTAAGCATACTGAAAATAACTCGCTTAATTTTGGATTTAGAGTAAAATCGCCCATTATAAAATTAAAAGAAAACAATATTTCGGAGGGCAAGACGGTGCATTTTTTAAAATTATTCTAAGTATAACGCTCAATACATAGTTTAGAAATAACGACTATTTTAACATTGTTAAATGACTGTAACTTTTCAAAAAATGAATTTTTTTAAAAAAACGTACCGTTTTGCCCTCCGGAATATTGTTTTCTTTTAATTTTATATTGGGTGCTTTTACTTTAAAACCAAAATTAAGCATGTTTTTTCAGCCTGCTTATTAAACATGTTTTTACCACTGAAAATCACCGGTGCGACGCCCTCTTAAGTCTTGTCGTGTCTCGATAACAACGAATTCGATTTTAAATTAACCTGAAAATTTGTACGGTTTTGATTTATCGACCCAACTAATTTATCCAGTTAACAAAATAAAAAATATGTGTGGTTTTGAGCGACAAGTGTGCCGTTTTGAACGACGCCCTTTATCTAATATAAACATAATGACATATTCGATTTGTGGTTGCTATCATAATGCAAACATAGATTACTAGATCTATCGGTAGATGATAATGAGAAATTGAGTGTTTATAGCGGTTAATATAGTTAATACATCTATATTGATGTGCAAGAGAAGCTCGACCCGTGTGGCGCAATAAGAATCACCAATACTAATGATCATTTACTTGATGAATACTGTCACAACTAACCCGCATGGGATCAAGTATTACCCAAACACATCTCTTTAAAAATGGGCCGTTTGCAAATCCTTTAATATTCACATAGCCTTGGGCTATGTGCAAGTTTTCTGAGACTATTTTTTTTAAGTAGGCACTCTTCAATTAAGAAATGTTTAAAACAATTAATAATTATACTGGCACCATTGTCTGTTCGAAGTCATTACAATAATTACAATACAATAAACACCTCATGAAGTCGTTGAAACATGTCTGTATTAATTATTTTGACAAAAGTTATGATGCAAGTTATTCAATGTGCAAATGTGTTGTTCAACTCTTTTATTTTTTATTTATAGGTATATGAACGATGAAGGACTGTAAACTTATATCCTACATGTAATTACAAATTAATCGCCCAATGACTTTGTATTTTCCGGTTTTACAATGTTGACTAGTTTAGATTTTAAGGCATTATATTTATAGAAAATTGCCATATTCAAAATCAAAATGTATTATTTTTGCTATAAAATGTTCGTGTAACTGATATATATTTTTGTAAAGTATATCTAAAACATTGTCTACCGGACAGCGAATCCGTCTAGAAACCATCATCTCATGATGGCAGCGTTGGGCCTTGAAGGCCCGTTAAGCTTGATGATGATGATGATGATATCTAAAACATACCCTAATTTTACATTTACAAAAAAAATTCATAGTTCCTACAATAATGAGCACATATATATATTATTATGTAATTATAAAAATGTATAAATAAATAATTAATTAAAATGTTATTTTTTACGTTAAGTTCATACTTTTTTTATTTACCATAAATTAAACATGAATATAAAAAATGACCAACCTATTTTTAGTGTACAATTAAAATCATGGTTATTATTTAAATACATTTGTTTTTAGCGTTTGGTCTGCTATTAATTTTAATAAAGTAACGTAACTAACAGTAAATAATCAAGGCTGAACAAGTTAAGCTACATAATAACAGCTAAGTTTGTGGAAATACTATTAGTTGAACTGCAAATAGATTAGTGATGACTATAATTAGACTTATTAGGTATAACACACCTAGTCAAGGTATAAAGCAAATAATTATAATATATTAGATTTATTTATTACCATACTAAAGTTCATAGCAAATACAATGGGTACTATTCTATTTTTATACCGCAGGATTTCTCATGGATTAAAATAATTGATGATCCACTAACAAATGAAAATTTTAATTTAATTGATTTTGATTATATTCAATAAACATAAAACATTAATTGAACCGTGAATTGTGATTCATGAATGACATTAATTATACATTTTATGATGAAACATAAAAATAATAGACTTTGTACATAAAATTGACTAAAATATGAATATTTTGTTGACAACGCGATATTAAGTAATCAAGTAAGAATTTGTTGACTTTAGTAGAAATTTGGTGGCCATATGGTGCTATAAAATATACTTGAATACAGTTCTGTTTAGAAAATAAAATTTACTTAATTCATTTTTTGTTTCGAGCTTGCGTCTACGTCAAAGCGTCTTAACTCGTTTTTTAGTGGAATAATTCGTGTCGGCAAAGAGGTTTTGTTCTGCACATGTTTTTCTAACGGATAGGACGAATAAAAAATGTAGATGTTTTTTTTTTACCGCGCGTTTTCGGTCTATTGAAATTTGTTCAGAATTGTACTTTGAGCGCATTTTTACCGACAAAAACGCGCGCGGTGATTTACGATCAAAAATCAGCCAACTAAAGACATTTCCATATCTCTTATGGTTTTTTCCCCGACTCCGCTAGACGTCAGACCGCCCGGAGGACCGTGGGAAGTAAACGCGCGCTGTGAACTGATTGATCAATTGACTCTGAGCCGCTCGACTTCTCCTCGTCTCCGGTCCCATTTACATATACAATATTATATCGGCTTTTACCCGCCGTCAAAAATCTTAATAAATAAATAAAAGATCAAAAAAAAAAATCCTTACAAATCCATCGGCGTCGCCTATCAAACGCCGGTGAATATCATTAAGTACACCGTGTGCGCTGGCGCCCGCGAGTATAGGTCTCGATGACATATTACATTTATATACATGTATATATATATATACATATTATTATGTTGGCGGCGGGTTCATACAAAATAAGACCTTTTATTTTTTCTTCCTCCAAGTGCCGTTGTCGGGTAATAGCCGAATATATTTCCATGCATCCGAAGAGGAAACGTTTTTATCATCATTCTTGTCGCATTTGACAGCGAAATGCACTCGCGCCTATCCGTTGTTGTACACTATACACGGTTTATACGCACAACACATAAATGATATACTTAAAAATATAGCCGGGAGGGTGGGGAGGGGGCCCGAGGCGGTGTTTCGATCGAGCTTTACGGTTAGATTTTCGAAAAACTTCCATTTTAACGTGGCTATATACGATAATATTATACACTACACGAGTATTACACCTAATGCGGCGCCAAAAGCACGGAACTAACACTTCTTCCGACCATCAAAATGATTTGACTGTAAAATTTTTTCCATACATTTGTAAAACCTAAGACACAATTATACCCATTTCGGACCACCCATTTTTACACGCTTGTATGTACATGCGTGTAACGCGGAATCTGTGTATTGCGCAACGAATTACCTATTTCTTACAGTTATATATTGTACATAATAGATAACTTGTTTTTTCATAGATTACTACTCACACATAAATAAACATCTATACAATTTTGTACGACTGTAGAGAATTGACCAATATGGTAATTGACAATTTTTTTCTTCAAAAATTATACGCAGAGCATTTGTAGAACAAAGGTTCATATGCAAATAATTCATTGTAGATAGTTTAAATTAAAAAAAGTGCCCCTGACA